ATCTCAGCCCTCCTTGCTGGGTCCCCAGGCCGCTGCTGGCCCGGGCTCAGGGGATGCCACTCTGACCAGATCCATGTAGGGGAAGAAGTCAGCGACGAGAACAGAGCAGAGAAGTGGCAGGACCGGGAAGCAGCTCCGCTGAGGAGGCAGGCGGCGGGGCCGGGATGGCGGGGTGCTGATGCCGGAGCTCAGGTGACAGATGGCGGCGGCGGCGGCCGCGTCCGGGACCACTTCACTCTTAAAAACAGCTTCATTTTGTCATAAACAAGTGGATTTGAAATCATAACAAACCACTGCAAAACAGTATTAAAAACAAGGTAAGCATTTGGGTAATGACTGGAGTAAAAGAAAGCAGAAATTAAACAGCACAGATTTAAAAAACAAAGAAAAACCAGCAGGGACAGAAGGGTCATGGGACTGGCTGGCTTATCTGACCTTAGACCAGTCCTGCTTCTATCACCAATGACCACCCAGCCACAAGGCCTCTGCTGTGACTCTCCAGGCTGGTTCACTCACCCTCAAACTTAAACACCCAGGCCTGCAAACTTGGATGTCAGTCTCCTGTTTCCGTATGTTGTCAACCAAATCATGGGTTCATTAGGCTTTATCTGATTGGTGAAATCTGAGTCACATGTCCATACCTGGCAGCAAAGTGCTGGGAAAAGTAGTTATTTTTAGGATTCTGCGCTGGGAAGGAAGAATGCACAAAGTGCAGAACTACTGATACTATCATGTGGAGAAGCATTGAAAAAAATTTAGGTATGACAGATGTCCACCATAATTAATGTTCCAAACTCTTCACTGGAGTTTAAACTCTATTGATTCTATCATCAATGTTCTGTTTCTAAATTTACTTTTTACTAAATAATGGCCAATGCAGGAGATGTAAGAGACATGAGTTTGACCCCTGGTACAGGAAGATCGCCTGGAGAAGGGCATGGCAACCCACTCCAGTATTCTTGCACGGAGAATCAAATGGACAGAGGAGCCTGGTGGACTACAGTCCATAGGGTTGCAAAGAGGTGGACATGACTGAAGTGACCTAGCAGCAGGACCACTGAAGTAATCAAAAAAATTAAGAACCAAAGAATTCTGGATGCCTGACTTAGAACATTTCTTATGAATAAAGATTGTTTGAAAACCGACACTAATGTCTTTAGGAATGGATCAGCTGTTAGCCTGCTTTTTGGCAAAGTCGGACATTAAAAAGCATCTCTCTCAGTGGAGCTGTAATTGATTACTTGAGCTCACTGGAGAGGGTTGCTGCTTGAGAGATTTATTTATAGTGCCTCAGATCTACACACTGGATTGATAGTCTAACGAAATGCTTCTTTTATAATTCCAATTATAAATGGGTCTTCAAATAATTTACTCCTAGATGAATCAGAGGCAGTGAGGACATGCACGGGCACCATTCTCAGGAGGCAAGCTCAGAATGCTGGCCTTAGGGTTTTCTGTTTGCTTTGCTTTGAGAGTTCATCTCTCTGCACAGCAATTTTCAGGAGTAGGCTGACTGGCATTGGTTGTTTTAGTATCCTTTTTCTTCAAAGAAGATTTGTGGTTATCTAATACAGTTTCTGGTAGGAGTCTCTATTTGTCTCCTTTCAATAGTATCAGAGAATTTCCCTGCTATTGTTCAACTTAAAAAAAAAACAAAACAGATTTTTTTCTTTGTTACCAAACATTCTTGGCTTAGGCAGGAATAAAGCAGTTAATGAACACATCTTTAAAGCATGTCTTCTAAAGACACAAAATCCCTCTGGAATAACAACAATCAGATACAAAAAAAACACACAATGGGAACATTAAACCAGTGTTTCAGGGCCAGTAAAACAGACTCCTACTCTTCCCATGGTTGGTTAACCAAAGAATTATATTTTGTTTTGAATAGTCTAATAATAAACTATTAATTTTAAGGATAAAAATATATTAGCTAATACATATATATATAAATATTGGATTTAGAAATTATATACATAAGCTAATAGAAACGATGGAAATTATATTATATACACATAATATTATTGATTCCAAGTAAGTTTAAAATGTGCGTGTGTGTGTGTGCATGCTCTGTCGCTCAGCTGTGTCCAACTCTTGGCAACTGCATGGACTGCCAGGCTCCTCTGTCCATAGAGTTTTCCAGGCAAGAATACTGGAGTGGGTTGCCATTTCCTACTCCAGAGGATCTTCCTGACCCAGGGATCGAACCCTCATTTCTTGCATCTCCTGCGTTGGCAGGCAGGTTCTTTACCACTGTACCAAAAGGGAAGCCAGCTTTAAAATACTTTATCTTATTAATTCCCATAATGCATTGACTGAACAAGAGTATTGTGTGGGTTGAATATGCACTTCATATAAAAATGTCCTTTTATGATATCAAATGATAGAAAGCAACTTTTTAGATAATGGAGAATGAGAATAGCTAAACTGACATTTACTGTAAGCCTCTGAACCAAAGAGAAGTACAAGTGTCATGTGGGTCGCTCTCTAGATTCACATGTACATCCAAAGCCTCGATGAAGACGGAAAGGGAAGAAATGTAGTTTGTAGATTGACTGAACTTTTGCTTTCTCTTTATATTTATTTGAGAAAAGAAGGAAGACATGGTCTACTCACTGCTTTCTTCCAGGGATATTGGTGTTAAGAGTCATCTGGTGTCAGGAATCACTTGGTGGTAGGAATCACTTGAGATCTTTCACAGCAAAGTTGTCAGAAAAATCACCAACTGCTGGATGATACTGTGTTTTACACAAACAAGCAATGTTAAGTGCAGAAAGACACCCAAAGTGTTCATGTACAAATCAAATCATATGTTGATGTTCACCAGAACCACAACTGTCTTTGGGGAAGTGGGTCTTGCCTGCCTATGTGGTAGTCAGTGCACCTGGCAAGATCATTACTCAGCGTCTGTTAACAGATCTTATACAAGGTCACAGGTTCTTTGCTTCCCCACCTGTTCCTAGAATATCATACACTTATGACTGACTCTTACAACTAATGATTAAACCACAGAAACAGAATTTGTGCTTCATGAATTTGTTTTAGTAGTATATTCACATCCTTTGAATAGTACTTTTTACTTCCTTCCAATATAAGGATTCAGACTGTATTAGTGCAAAAAAATTGAACATACTCCAGCACCCAGAAGCTAAAATCCAATAAATTCCATTTACACAATTTTTTTCTTCAGAATAGACCTTTCAAAGGAAGGATATGAAGAATTCAAATATTTCCTTATTCCCTACTAAGATAGAATAATAAGAGTTGCATATGGGATTTTTAACTTTTTAAGGTATTCTTCTTGGTTCACAGACCTGCAATCTTCTTACCATTTCACAACATGAAGGGAGGGGTAGGGACCTCTCTGGGGTCTCTTTAAAAGGGCACTCATTTTACTCATAAGGGTTCCACCCTCTTAACCTGATCACCTACCAGAGGTCATCTCTGAATACCACCACATTGGGAGTTAGGATTTCAATATATGGAATTGAGAGGAGGTGGTCACAAACCTTCCATCTATAGCACAGAGCTACCAGAAAAATCATATGATCACATCCAAAGATACAGAAATACATTTGAAAATAATTCAACACTCTTTCATGTTTAAAAAAAAACTTCTCGATAAAGAAGGAATTAATGGATACTTCTTTGATATCCGATATTATACACACAAACATCTCTGTATCATGTGCAATACAGTAGATGTTCAACAAATCATTGCTTCATTTAATTACTGTGCTGCCTGGGAGATAAAAATTTAGGGCTTAAACTTAGCTAAAGATCTCTCTTTAGTTTATAGCTTGTTTGGTTTTCATTACTTGGCCCTACTTCAGTTTAGCAGGGGCTTTGTCTTATTGGTCTTGTTCTCTCAGAGCCTGCTGTACCTGGCATACTAGGCACTTAGTAAGAATTTTAACTGTATGGCTGTATGAAAATTGAGTGATTACTGAGTAATACAAAGAAACAAGGGCTCAACAACAGGTCAGGTAAACCAGCAATAGGGTCAGAGTATCATTTTCTGGTCTGCAGGTATCTCAGGTGTTCGCACTCTTAGTTTATGGACCCAAAACTTTTTAAGAAGTTAACTTCAGCGTATTATTGGGCTCATTGAATCCTATTTTTTAAATTACAAAAAAAAAAAACCCAACCCAAACAAATATACACCCTAGCTGCTAACGCAAAGGTGTCGGCAGTTTATTTAAGTTTATTGGCAGTCTGAACCCTACGGTCTCTCAAGGCCATTATGTATTGATGGCTTGCTAAATTTACACTATAAATTTATATATTTTATAAAATTTTATTTTATATATTTTATAAAAATTTAAACTATCCTTTATGTGGCATAGCAATTCCACAGCGTTCACCTTCTTTGATCCTGAGAGCCCAGTGAGGTCATCCTTTCAGTTATCCGATACATTTTGTACCCCACGCCCTCCCCAAAAGCTGATGTTCTAACTTTAATCAGGCTTGACAAAAGGGAAGACTGGGCGCTTTGTAAAGTGCGCTGCTCTCAAAGGGTGACCCGTCGGGACACGCACCAAACGATCTTGCCCCGCTACTGGTTTTAAACGCAAAATAACGGAACCTAAGCACCCAGGAAGCCCACACAAGCTGAGAGGGCCCACACACACGGAGAGGCGGAGAAAGGATGCTGGGCATGGAGTCTCCGGCCGGGCTAGGGGACGTAACACCAAGTGGGCGGATCTTTTCGGCGAAACCCCGCCCCTCCTCGTCGCTGATTGGCGGCGGGACAGGGGGCGGCCCGCGCGCGGCTCAGTCTCTCGGGCTCCGCGCGCGCCCCGCCCGCCGGTGGGTGTGTCCGGGCAGCGGGGGCGCGCGCGCCCGGTCGCGTCCGGGACCGGAAAGGAGGCGGGGCCGCGACGGCGCGCGTTCCCAGGACGCGCGGCGCAGGCGGCGCGGATCGTCGGGAGCCGGTCCGCTGCCGGAACGGGGTCCCGGCTGTGCCTGTGCAGCGGTGTGCTCTCGGGGCGTCAGCCGAGATGAACACGGTGCTGTCGCGGGCGAACTCACTGTTCGCCTTCTCGCTGAGCGTGATGGCGGCGCTCACGTTCGGCTGCTTCATTACCACCGCCTTCAAAGACAGGAGCGTCCCGGTGCGGCTGCACGTCTCGCGGATCATGCTGTGAGTGCGGCCGACGCCCGGGGGGGCTGGGATGGGCGGGCAGGGCGTCGGGGGGCCGGCTGGGCGCGGGGCCCCCTCACGAGCAGCCGGCGGCCCCGGGCGGGCGGGGCGCCACCCTGCGCCGCGCCTTCGCGGGCTCGCTCTTCAGTTTTCCTGTGGAGCGTTGCTCGGGTCGGCGTCCGCGCTTCCTTCCGGTTCCTCACTTCCGCGCCCGCGCGCAGCCAACGAGGGAGCCCCACGACAGCGCGGCGCGCCCCGCCCGCCGTACCCCCCACCGGCGCGGGGTCCGAGCCGCCTGCTCCGACTCCTTACCTCCCCGGGGTCTGCCTGCTCTTCCAGCTGCCGAAGGTGCCTGCCGACTGGGCCGGAGGGGTGAAGGTGCCTGGGGAGGACGCGACACCCCGGCGCTTCGCGACGGCATGCTTTGAATTTTAAAATTTTTGAAGGTCCAAGCCGCTTGAATACATTCTGCGAACATGCCCCCAAGTAGAATTTAAAATGACATGGTCCTTCCGCTAATGCCCATTAAAAAAAATTTAATGCTGAGATTTATTCTCCGGGACTTGCTTCTTCGATCCTTAGAAATTTCTTTTTTTTTACTTCTCCCTGGTTCTCCTGTTGTTATTCTCTGTGCCATTTTTCAACAAGTGCCCTCTCGTCTTCAGCCTTCGTTTTATTAAGTTGGAAATGCGGACCAGCTGGTCATCTGATAGCTATCCCCCCACTATTTTTTTTTCCGCTGCCTATGTTGATGTTTTGTAGCAACTGCTTTTTTTACATGCAGATAGACCCTGGCTGGAACTCCTGAGTCTATCTGCTCTGGGAGAGTAGAAAAGCGTGGCTCATCGTAAATCCTGAACTGTTAGCTCCTTTGTATCTGGAGCTAGCTTCTTACCTTCCTTGGTCTTCATTTGCTTTTGTTTGAAGTGGAAGTTACAGCCAAGCCATAGGCATGTTGTGAGCATTGAGATGATGGTCAAAAATACATAGTGGACCTGACAGAAACACATAGTAAACGCTCAAAAATAGCAGTTGTTCATTTTGTCTTGGTTTCCTTATAGTCTTCTGTAATTTCTTCTTCCCCTTCTTCCAGATCACTTGACCTAAAGTATTTCACATTCTTTGAGCACTGTTTATCTCCCTCTGGGTTTTGTTAGGGATTCTTTTAAGTTAAATGGAAATAGCTGAAGACCTGCTTTAATAGTGAGTTTGTTTGTTGATACACAAGTTTCTCTGACTTTTGCTTGTTTGTGGAGTGCGGCTAGACTTTCACTTACATAAGGAATTTTGTGAATTTTGTATGCCGTTACGTTTGAAGGATGGTGAAACTTAACTATTTTTTGCTTCTAGAAAAAATGTAGAAGACTTCACTGGACCTAGAGAAAGAAGTGATCTGGGATTCATTACGTTTGATATAACTGCTGATATCCTTTTGAAAAAATATTTCATTGCTTGTATAATGATACACATATTGTTCAGTCACTTGGGGGGCAATAAGTACGTTTATCCACTTATCAATCAAACCTTGGCAATTTCTGTGCTTGTGTTTTCATCAGTATAATCGTGTTATTGTCGCTCATTCATACCTTGAGAAAACTTATTTATAGATTGATGAGTTAAATCTAAAGCTACAAGAGTTTGAGTCTGGATTTCAGAAAGAAAATAAAATTAGATCATTTAGCTTAAAGGAGGAAGAATGTTACTAGTACTCAGCCTACCTAGATGCAGTGTTTCATGTACAATCCCAAAGAATATGTCCGTATTTTGTGATAGCAGAGAAGCATATGTTAAAAGTGAATTGCATGTGCTGTGGTTCAGAAGGTCATTAATAGATGATTATTGGTAAAAATGCTAGCATTCTGCCTTATAGTTCTTTTATAAGTACTTATATAGTAAGAGAAATCTTAACAATGAAAACAATTACTTAAAATGGAGGTGATTTCAGTATTTTCTCTTTATTTTGAATTTCCACCTTTTAACTTCTTTTTGGCCAGTTTAATCTTCTTTGAGGGGCTTAGATTACTATTTTGGCAATGCTCTTCCCAGCCACTTCTAGGATGTCACCTGCCTTTTTAGGACCCCAGGATTAAAATTGAATATGGAGATTGAACCGTCTGTACTTGTGTAAAGCAGCTGTCTGAACAGTGGAAGCAGATTGTGTACCTGGGAAGTTTGCCTGACATTCCCCTTTATTACCCTGGAACTACTTTTCATTTCATTTAAAAAAAATAAATTATGGGGTTTAGAAGTAGACTAGTAATTAATTCTGTAGGCACTTTTTTTTTTTTTTAAGGGAATGGAATACACCATCAGAAAAGACCTGTGGCAGACTTCTGCTATTAAGTCTTCATGTCTTTTTTTTTTTTTTTTAATCTAAGCTAGTGAGGGAGTTTGGATCTAGTGTAAAAGTAGGAATTTTGTGTTTTGGGCAATTACAGTGGAACTTCCTGGTATTTCAACTATTATATATTCCCAGTTTCATCATTTGTAGTTTAGATTATCTTAACATGGCTGCTAAAAGTTGAAATTGTACCTGCCCATATAAAGAGATATCCAAGACTTCAATTCTAAAATAGTGATTCTTAGTGGATACCCAAGAGAGGAATGTCATGAACCTGTACCTCTTAGCATGTAAATGGATATAATGAAATGACTTAATTAATATATGATGCTTAATGAAATCCAGATGTTAACTCAGTTCATTTCTTAGTGCCACTGTGCTTAGTCGCTCAGTCATGTCCTGCTCTTTGTGACCCCTTGGACTATAGCCCAGCAGGCTCCTCTGTCCATGGGATTCTCCAGGCAAGAATCCTGGAGTGGGCTGCCAGCCTCCTCCAGGGGCCCTTCCCAGCCTGGGTCTCAGTGCCCCTGTGTCGTAATTAACCCTGGTGAGGTTTTTCACTCTTGTAAACCAAATTGGTATTCATACCCTTACTTTATAAAGCACATCATGGGACATTTTGATCTCTCCTGGCACGTGTCCATAAACAACATGTACAGTTTACTGTACTTGGTTTAGTTACTTGATCCTGTTCTTTTTTGCACAACATGAAGTTGTCTTGTGGTCATTGGTTATACTCAGAACTCCAGTGGAGTCATGTATGTTTAAGATACTAGGTCCGCTTTCTTTTAGACTTACTGGGTTGATTTTCCAGAAAACTAAATTTTTATTTCATGGTTAATTTCTTATTAATTGAAGTATCTCAGGTAGTAATGCTTAGAGGAGCAGGGAAGGATGCTCTTAATCTAACTGATATTTTTTGACTTTGGAATGAGCTGGATTTTACACTATATTATCTTTTATATGTTTTTAGTAGTGCACCAGTATGTTTCTGGGCCACCTCTTTTTTATTTTAATTTTAGTATCAGTATTGCTATGAATTATCAATTTAAGAATAACTGAAATCTTTTTTAAGTTGTATGCTGCTTTAGGATTTATATATTCCTTAATTTATTTACATCTAGAAAATATATTTGATTGGAATGTTAAGCAGTTGTTTCTTTACTTATCAGCTGAATATTCAACAAAAAATAATGTAAGTACATGCGTGGAAGTATTTTTGTAGATATTTAAAACCTCATTCTTTAGGAAAGAATATAAATTTTATATATTTGAAATATCTGACCTGGAGTAATGTAGTAAAAATCGCAAGCCCCTGGAGAAGGTGACTCTACTAAGAAAATTCTTTTGTAGCCTCTGTCTTTTTTACAGATGTGTTTTTTCTCCATTTCATGTCCTTAATTTACCAAACTTGTTTGTGATCTGTCAAAGCAGTGACTTGAAAGGATTGTCTGACTCCTAGGATTTTACCATAGTGAAATTTCTGTTTCTCCGAGGGCCTCGCTCTGAAGAGCACATAAGTCTAAAACATTGCATTGAGCTTTAAGGGCTCTAAATAATATGGCTGTCTTAGCAAAAGAGGTGATTTCCCTTAGGGAAATGTCTTTTGTCCAGGAGAAGTTGGACTCCTGTGTCTATCCACTTGTATCATTTTGTCTGCTTTAAGATTTTAACAGTTCCCTCAAAGTTAGATTCATTCATATAAATAAGACTTTATTTACCAATACATTTGAAGTGACCAGATGCTAATTTCTATTGAATTATCTAATTAATTTTTATTTTAATGCAGGCTCTGAACCAGGTTGTCCTTTGGGACAAGATTGTTCTGAGAGGTGATAATCCGAAGCTGCTGTTAAAAGATATGAAAACAAAGTATTTTTTCTTTGACGACGGAAATGGTCTCAAGTGAGCAACTCTTTGTCATTTTTTACATGCGATGCTACGTGAAGGGGAGAGAAAAACGTGATGTGTTTTTAAAGAAAAACATTGCAGGCTAAAAAGAAAAGTTGAGAGAGAAGAAAAGTATTCACATAGCTCTGAACTGAAAGATTGAGTAGAAACAGTGCTGTCCAACCTGAATCTTAAGTGCTCGGTTCTCTTGCCTTCTGAGAGCTTAAGTCAGACTAGGAGGGCCTGGGGCCTCTGCTCTCAGGAGCCCAGAGTCCTGGGCTGCTGACCCTGGGGTGGGACTGTTATCCCCAGAGGGCTCCTTTGGGGGTGTCAGAGGAAGCAGCCTGTTGGTCCAGGATTTGATAACTGAGGTTCCTGGTTTTGGTTCACTTAACCTCTCTGAACCTCAGCTTCTTTTTGTAGAAAATGAAGGAATTTGAATGAATGATCTTTTGGGTCCGCTTTGGCTCTCATCTCTGGGGGTCAGCTTTGGAAAAGATTTTAGGGAAGAGCTATCTTAACCAAACTTGTTTATGCACATGAAAATTTTACAGCATTGAGAGATTTTGATCAATTCAGGTTTGCCCATGTAGATAATGATAGAAATAAGTTTCAAATCATTTCCCCTTGGTTTTTAGCTCAAATGTGTTTATGTTCCCTGTGTTTTACACATTTAAGCATTTTGGTTGATGGCTTGCCTAACTGTGACTCTGAACTTTAGGTGTGTCGTTATGGGAAGCCTACAGTGAGAATGCTGGGGTTTTCCAGAGTTGTCTGAGATTTCAAAAGACTTGAGAAAATGTGTCTGTAGATTAGAATTCCACTTAGAGCTGGTTAAAACATAAAGTATCTGACACCTCAGTGCTTGAATTACGACATTTTTATTGAACTGCAAATGTTTCTGCTGACGTCTGTTTATGATGTCTCGTTACAGGGGAAATAGGAATGTCACTTTAACCCTGTCCTGGAATGTCGTACCAAATGCTGGAATTCTACCTCTCGTGACAGGATCAGGACACGTATCTGTCCCATTTCCAGATACATATGAAATAACGAAGAGTTACTAAATTATTCTGAATTTGAAACAACATATTTTTATACCTAATGAATTGTATCTTGTTTCTCTCTTCTTGCATCTTCATTTGTTTTGGGTTAATTTTTTTTTTGGTGTAAGAATGAACATCAGAAGGCATATTTGAAGGGAAAGACTAATGTACTACCTAATTTTCCAAATAAAAACAAACAAAGGCCACCAGAGTGGAGTATTATAAGAGTAAGACAGCCGCATCAGAAGAGTCTGTGAAGTACTTGTATTTGAAGTCGTTGCTGTATTTCCATTATTCTGGATGGAATATGAGTGATCATGAAGGATAATAAATACTTTCAGGTGCCTGTGGAGTTGGGAGAACTTAAATAGCCTTGCATTCATGCAGGCTCACATTGGATGTGATTTAGAAGCAGATACTTTCTTTTATCTCTTTTAGGGTATATTTCAATACTGGAAAAATTAATACACTTAGTAGTGAGAAGCCTGGTTTACAAAACAGCCAAACATGGAATTTTATTCCATTTGTCTTAGGAATGCCCAAATGCTTGTTTTTCTGACAGGTGACTAGCAGCTTTCTCCACTAAAGACTAAATACCTCTTTAAATGCAGTAAATCATTCTCAAATCATTTTAAAGTCACTTAAGTCTGTGTCTTTCAGTGCTTTCTCTAAAAAAGCTCCTTGATATTGTATCTTTGTGTGATTTTTTTTTTTTTAACATTGCCATAGAAAGTTGAAAATGTTTGCATGGTTTACCCTCTGAGTTAAGTTTGTTCTACTAAGCATGCCAAGTGCCACTGAGTGGTAATTATTTAAATTTTTTTCTAGGTCCACATTTTAATAATTATTGGGGTAATAATCAATATTGTTGGTGTGCTTTTCCATTTATAAGCACTCACGTATATTTGACTGTATGTGATTCTCAATAATCTAATGAGGTAGGTAGTGCAAATGTTAGTTCTTTGCAGATGAAGAAACTGACCCAGAAGTTTATTGAATTGCTTCCAGGTTATTATATAGCCAGCAAGGAAGGGCATTGACCCTTGAACTCAGATCTGATTCTCTGAGCATGTCCTCTCTTCTATACCTCAGATGACAGACTAGTCAAAATTCACTTCTGTAATTTTTAATACAGTTTTTGTTACCCTGGACACCCTTTCTATTAGTTAGGAGAGTCCCTTTTCTAAATGAAAGTGACTGATTTTCAAGTTGCCAACAATTTATATAGAGATAATATGTCACTCATCCTCTGCATAAATTCTCACGTTAAAAGAATCCAAGCGTATGTGAAAATAATTTAGAGATTGATTATATGATCATATTTAACCGTGTTTTTTCCTACAGTGGACAAATAAACAGCCTCAAAGGAAGCAACTGCAGATCAATCACCCTTAAAAGCTAGACCAAACACTGCAGGAACAGTGTCAGCAGTGACCAAAAAGGGCTAATGTTTTCTAAGCATCGTTTATACCAGTGGCTGACGTTTGTTAGGAGAAACACATCTCCATTTACTTACATTGCCTGGAACATCTTGGCTTGTAAGGACATGTGTTCTGTGGAGGCCAGAGGTACAGTGTCATGAATACTAGACTGGGTTTGGCTCGCAGCTTTTTCGTTAAACTTTTCAGGGGCTCCATTTCTTTATCTGTAAAATGACAAGAGTTGGACTAGTTAACTTAAACAGTGATTCTTTTATACCGTACACATCTGTAAAATTAGTTGTATCTCTGGCCGATTGAACAGGAAAGCACCTTAGTAATGAGAGGGCAGATGTAATGTGACTGAAAGATGAATTAACATAATTCATAATTGATCTGACTTTATTTCTGTTAGATTTTACACCCAGAAGATTTCACTTTTTGTATAGTTTTTGTACAAATACTAGACACAAACTTAACATCTGTCGCCATCGAAGCTTAAAAGGGTGTGTTCTTGAGGGTGCTCTCAATGGGCCTGCAGCCCAAGGCAGACCTAGGGCCAGCTGAGGCGCTCAGATGCCACTGGACACCTGGGTTTGTATTTGCTGCACATGAATGTGGAAATTTACTCCCGCTACTGTTCAGGCTCACCCCCTTTTTGGAGTTAGGTGAGGAAGGGGAGTAGAGAGGCCCACTTGCACAATGGAGTTTTTGCTTTCATTGGAAAGAGAAGCTGCTCAGGACAAGGGTGATCCAACACAGGAACACAAAACCTTCCTCTCAGGAACTCATTTTTGGGTTTGCACAGCTTTGTAAGTCCACTCTAACTGCATGAAAAAGTTGGACCTGTGTTTAGTTGATAACATTGTCTACCTTAGCATCAGTGTTTTCAAAAGTCTTGCATTTCCACAAGACTGAAGGCTTCACCCTTTGGATTAGAAACATCCAAGTCCCGGGATCATCCTGGAAAAGAGTAATTGCAAGAGTCTCCTCTGATGTATTCCCATGTTCCTTTCTCCTGCGGTTTAACCTGGACCAGCACTTAGTCTGATTTTCATGCCCCACAATTGATTACATTTGGTTTCTTTGTGCCTAGAGAACGATAACAGACCAGAAATCCTTTATGGTGTAATAGGAAAAGGGGTGATTTTGAGTTTCTGTTTTTGTAATTATCTTGCAGCTCTTTGGTGGGTCTGGCCAGCCTAGAGAGAGGCTTTAAGGCTATAAGAACTACCTAAACCTTAAAGCTTTGGATCTTTGGGGTACAGGTTAATGGGGCTGTGTTTTATAATGCTTTGAATTGACATGAAATGAGTTTATGGGGGGAAAAACCATAAGCTGTGAATTTAAATAATCAACATCTGTCCATTTCAGAAGCCTCCCTTGCTTTTAGCAGACAGCCTATGTACCTTTCATGTGACTGCCAGTGGTTTAAAAAAATATGTTTTCAAAAAATTGTTGCATGTTTTGATGCAATTTGGGGAACTGTTTACTTTAAATTCATAAGAAAAACATGTCAATACTGAAGAAATGTTTGAGGCTTTTCTTAATTGCAATAAATAGTCAACATTTTTCTAATGAATTTTGTTTAAGAGTAAAAGGTATGCATTTAAAAGACTTTCAGACTGATGCTTTTTTTAAAAATGTGAAGCTGCTGAACTAAAAAGGGATGAAACCAAGTCTAGTAAACTTGAGTTTTTTTCTTTTTTCCTTTTCTCTGTCTTTTTCTGGGGCAGGTGTGGGGGAGGGTAGTCACACCTAGCAGATCTCCAGAGACTGGGCTCCTACCCTAGACTGTAAGCTCTTTGAGGGCAGTCTTGTGGGTTTATCTTTGTATTTTCCCCAGAGCCTGGTGCAGTGCTTTGCACAAAATAGGCACCCAATAAATACTGATGATGAACCAAGTCATTGTCTCTGTAATGTGGCCAGACCGTGGGGACTATTTTGCAGGTAGTGTGTGCTCCTTTGTCGGAGAAGGCAAATGGCACGCCATTCCAGTACTCTTGCCTGGAAAATCCCATGGGGACATGACTGAGCGACTTCACTTTCCCTTTTCACTTTCATGCATTGGCGAAGGAAATGGCAACCCACTCCAGTGTTCTTGCCTGTAGAATCCCAGGGATGGCGGAGCCTGGTGGGCTGCTGTCTATGGGGTTGCACAGAGTTGGACACGACTGAAGCGACTTAGCAGCAGCAGCAGCAGCAGTGCTCCTTTGTAAAGGCTGCTGTTGTCACTTGAGCTGGTGACGTTAGACCTGACTCTTCCTTCCTTTCATACCTTAGACATTGCCCAGGCCAGGCAAGCACTGGGCTCCTGTTGCCAAGACCTGGGTTGCCCCACTGCCAGGCTTCTGATAAGAGCCATGGGACATTAACCGAGCGAGAAGGCAGATAACAGCTGAAAGTCACCACACAGACCTGACTTTAAAGATGCTGGTTGAGCTCATGAAGAAACAAATGGGTCAGATTAGACAGGTGACTGCATTTGACAACGTGGTGGGTCCAGCCTCCATCACACTCATGGCTTCTGGGCCCTCCCTGGGAGCCCACTGAGTTGGGGAATCCTATCGTTTCCATTTCTCAGTGTTTCCCAGGGAACTCAAGACAACTGCAATGATAGAAATACTCCCTCAAGAGAAGAGAAAATCGGATTCAGAGGGGAAGTTAGTTTTTTTTTTTAAACCAAAGTATTTTCCTGGGATGATACAAGAGGTCAGCTGGGAGTTCTCAGCCCTGCCTTTACGATTTGTCCAGGTAGAGAGTCAAGAAGTAAAACATTGTAGTCGTTATTAATGACAGAAGAAAAACATCCCCTGGAGGAGAAAATGACAACCCACTCCAGTATTCTTGCCTGAGGAATCCCATGAACAGAGGAGTCTGGTGAGCCATAGTACGTGGGGTCACAGAGATGGACGAGACTGAGCGACTGAACACTCCAGGGTAGAACGTGAGTTGCATCACCTGCTTGGGGTGACTCCAGGAGGCCAGAAAGACCCATTCTTAAAATCTAAGTCCTGTTGTCCAGTTCCCTTCCAGGAAGACACATTTGGTGAGAAAAGATCTACAGGGAAATCTGTGACAGGCCATGGGTCTCTGTCCAGTTCAGCTCAGTCACTCAGTCGTGTCCAACTCCTTGGGACCCCATGGACTGGAGCACGCCAGGCCTCCCTGTCCGTCACCAACTCCCGGAGCTTGCTCAAACTCTTGTCCGTTGAGTCGGTGATACCATCCAACCATCTCATCCTCTGTCATCCCCTTCTCCTCCTGCCCTCAATCTTTCCCAGCATCAGGGTCTTTTCAAATGAGTCAGCTCTTCTCATCAGGTGGCCAAAGTATTGGAGTTTCAACTTCAGCATCAGTCCTTCCAATGAACACCCAGGACTGATCTCCTTTGGGATGGACTGGTTGGATCTCCTTGCAGTCCAAGGGACTCCCAAGAGTCTTCTCCAACACCTCAGTTCAAAAGCATCAATTCTTCGGTGCTCAGCTTTCTTTTTGGTCCAACTCTCACATCCATACATGACCACTGGAAAAACCATAGCTTTGACTAGACGGACCATTGTTGGCAAAGTTATGTCTCTTTTTCAATATGCTGTCTAGGTTGGTCATAACTTTCCTTCCAAGGAGTAAAGCGTCTTTTAATTTCATGGCTGCAATCACCATCTGCAGTGATTTAGGAGCCCAGAAAAATAAAGTCAGCCACTGTTTCCTCATCTATTTGCCATGAAGTGATGGGACCAGGTGCCATGATCTTAGTTTTCTGAATGTTGAGCTTTAAGCCAACTTTTTCACTCTCCTCTTTCACTTCCATCAAGAGGCTCTTTAGTTCTTCACTTTCTGCCATAGGGTGGGGTCATCTGCCTATCTGAGGTTATTGATATTTCTCCCAGTAATCTTGATTCCAGCTTGTGGCTTCATCCAGCCCAGTGTTTCTTCTGATGTACTCTATATAGACGTTAAATAAGCAGGATGACAATACACCTTGACGTACTCCTTTTCCTATTTGGAACCAGTCTGCTGTTTCATGTCCAGTTCTAACTGTTGCTTCCTGACCTGCATACAGGTTTCTCAAGAGGCAGGTCAGGTGGTCTGGTGGGTCAGGTGGGTGGTATTCCCATCTGTTTCAGAATTGTCCACAGTTTATTGTGATCCACACAATCAAAGGCTTTGGCATAGTCAATAGAGCAGAAATAGATGTTTTTCTGGAACTCTCTTGCTTTTTTGATGATCCAGCAGATGTTGGCAATTTGATCTCTGGTTCCTCTGCCTTTTCTAAAAGCAGCTTGAACATCTGGAATTTCACGGTTCACATATTGCTGAAGCCTGGCTTAGAGAATTTTGAGCATTATTTTATTAGCATGTGAGATGAGTGCAATTGTGCAGTAGTTTGAGCATTCTTTGGCATTGCCTTTCTTTGGGATTGGAATGAAAACTGACTTTTCCAGTCCTGTGGCCACCGCTGAGATCCCCAAATTTGCTGGCATATTGAGTGCAGCACTTTAACAGCATCATCTTTTAGGATTTGAAATAGCTCAACTGGAATTCCATCACCTCCACTAGCTTTGTTGATAGTGATGCTTCCTAAAGCCCACTGGACTTCAAATTCCAGGATGTCTGGCTCTAGCTGAGTGGTCACACCATTGTGATTATCTGGGTCATGTAGATCTTTTTTGTACAGTTCTTCTGTGTATTCCTGCCACCTCTTCTTAATATCTTCTGCTTTTCTTAGGGCCATAGCATTTCTGTCTTTTATCGAACTCATCTTTTTGTGAAATGTTCCCTTGATATCTCTAATTTTCTTGAAGAGATCTCTAGTCTTTCCCTTTCTGTTGTTTTCCTCTATTTCTTTGCATTGATCGCTGAGGAAGGCTTTCTTATCTCTCCTGGCTATCTTTTGGAACTCTACATTCAAATGGGAATATCTTTCCTTTTCTCCTTTGCTTTTCACTTCTCTTCTTTTCTCAGCTATTTGTAAGGCCTCCTCAGACAGCCATTTTGCTTTTTGCATTTATTTTCCATGGGGATGGTCTTGTTCCCTGTCTCCTGTACAATGTCACAAACCTCCGTCCATAGTTCATCAGGCACTCTGTCTATCAGATCTAGTCCCTTAAATCTATTTCTCATTTCCACTGTATAATCATAGGGATTTGATTTAGGTCATACCTAAATGGTCTAGTGGTTTTCCCCACTTTCTTCAATTTAAGTCTGAATTTGGCAATAAAGAGTTCATGGTCTGAGCCAGTCAGCTCATGGTCTTGTTTTTGCTGACTGTATAGAGCTTCTCCATCTTTGGCTGCAAAGATTATAATCAATCTGATTTTGGTGCTGACCATCTGGTGATGTCCACGTGTAGAGTCTTCTCTTGTGTTGTTGGAAGAGGGTGTTTGCTATGACCAGTGCCTTCTCTTGGCAGAACTCTCTTAGCCTTTGCCCTGCTTCATTCTGTAATGAATTAATTCTCTATCAGTACCTGTGCTTTTATGACACCTTCCCATCACACACATGTAAAATTGCGGTTGAAGTTTCACAGAGTAATACTTTGGACTATGAAGACAGGCTGGTTCCAAAGTCCAATACAATGTCCACCACCAGGACAGATGCTAGTTACTGCTCACCTACTATGTGTTACCTGTCCTAACTCTATGACGCTCACCTCACATTTTCTGGTGAACTGCAGGAGTCAGGTACCTCTGACTAGAAATCACATAAAATAAAATGCTTATTAATAGGAGAAAGACACTCAGGCCCAACAAGCTTTAAGATGACTAGGGGAAAGAAACAAATATATATCCAGTGCCTCACTGTTCTACTTAGTGAGATGGCATAGGAGAATTGTTCTCTCTATATATTCATATGTATATTTTCATGTAGAATTTAATACATTCCAGTCATGAAATTTTCTAGATATACATTCGTATTCTACATGATGTCTTTTAAGTTCAGTGGAACCTATAAAATTACTAAAAGAACTGAAAGTGGATGTCGCTCTGTCGTGTCAGACTCTGTGACCCCAAGGACTGTCGTCCATGGAATTCTCCAGGCCACAATACTGAAGTGTGTAGCCGTTTCCTTCTCCAGAGGATCTTCCCAACCTAGGGATCTAATCCAGGTCTCCCACATTGCAGGCAGATTCTTTACTGTCTGAGCCAGCAGGGAAACCCAAGAATACTGGAGTGGGTAGCCCGTCCCTTCTCCAGCGGATCTTCCCGACCCAGGAATTGAACCACAGTGTCTTTCATCGCAGGCAGATTGTTTATCAGCTGAACTACCAGAGAAGTAAATAAATAAATCACTAGAGAGGGAAGTAATTTTCATCAATACAGTTTTCCTAGTTTCCTGATTTTAAATTTCATTTTTTTACAGTAAGAAGCTTTTGTGTCCAAGTGTTTTATCTTCCGGAAGTGGAAGTTCTTTCCCCTGGCTAGAGGTGTTCTCAAGAAAAGCTGTAGAAAACGGATCCACCGCGGCGCTGCTTTTCTCAAATGTGCCTCTTTTGCTGATTAGTGGAGCTTTGGCGCCTCCTGTTGGCAGAACTGAGGAAAACAAGTTATAGGTCGGCAGATAATGCTACATGGTGTTGCTATGTCCATGGACCTCTGCCCTCCAGAAAATTCTGAATTTTGGTTTTGATTACTGCTCACATTTAGGTTTTAACTCACTGGTCTTTTCCTCCTTCCCTTGGAGCTTTCATATATGTTCCTAAGAGCTAAGCCTGGTGATACTGTTTGTGTTCACTTCATCTGGGGGCTGGTTGAATGGCTGCAGGAGTGTTTTAGTCTCACGTGCAAGATGATGCCAACACGGAAGCTGAGGCATCTTTTTGCTGTTGAAGAAAACAGTCCTTAGCAGCTTATACAGGTAAGGCAATTTAGTAAACACATTTTTTTTTTCTCTCTCTCTCTCTTCCTAATAACGCCAGAAGTTTGCTTTTATAAAAGCTCAGGTAGATTTTACTGTCTTGTGTGCAGTCATCAGTGCTTTGTTTTCTGCTATAATTTAATGAGCACGGAGCCTAATTCTACCCCATCTCACAAAATGTAATGCTGATTTAGAACTTTGGGGCCCTCGTGTTGACAGAATTCTATGAGCAGGGTATCTATTAATGTACGTGCATACCAGAGGATGGGGGTCTCTTTCCCACAGATCTCAGGGGCTTGCCACTGTACTGTGAAGTGTCTAGAGATCAGAAATTTGGGGTGGAGATAGAATTTCTCTTTAAAGGTGAATGGTGGCCCCCTGTGCCCCCTACTGCTGTAAAAGTTCTACTTTGTCCTTTATAATTTCTTTGACCCCCCTTTCAAGTCTCTTGCTCATTTATTAAGGTCCATCTTTTATTTTTAAACATTTCCTATGTTGTCATACTGCATTCGGGAGGCAGCATGTGCTCTATTGTGGTGTCTGCTCCAACCCAAATGCTGAAGCACCTGGTAAGTCAAAGGCTGATAGACTTGAATGGGGCCCAGAATAAAAGAAGAGCCTTCAGTCCACCTCGTTCATTTGCTTTGTGAGCAGCTCTGCCAAAGTCCTAGTGGGTCCAGGGGTGCTTCCTGAGTCTGCACTTGCCTGGGGTGCTGGGAGAGCTCAACAAGGGCTCTGACGGGTGAATCAGAGCGAATGCCAGTAGGGTTTTGGAGTAAAGACGTGGTCTCTTCAGAAAGTAAATATTGTTCTGAGAATAATTCTTGGCTCACCATTAGGCCCTGAGATGCCAGTAATCATGAAACTTGAGAGGCAAATCAAAATAAGTTTTGTCTGATCTCGTAAGCCTCAAGTCATTACAACTCTCGGACATTTAATTGAAGGGATTATATAGGATCAGGCCAGCCCTGAATGAACTGGCAAACTCTGTCATCCATGCCTTTCTCAATTTACATCTCTGACCTTACGTGGAGTTATATGAAGATGAGAAAAACCAAGATTGGCTTATCGATGGCTCCCTGTGACATCCTGCATTAGGCAAGAGAGATACACCATAGAACCATAGTCCTTGGGGGTGACTTAGGATCATCTGATATGACAAGAGACTGGTTATTAAGAATAATAGCTCATAGTTAGATATTTATGTTTTTATAATATCCAGGTAAGTTGTTTGCTATATTCCATAAATGGGAGTTTAAGTTATTCTCAAGCAAATAACATTTTTGTTGCAAAGAAATACCTGTTGCAGGAAGGCTCCCACCATCCTTTGAAGATGAGGCTGGCTTAGTTGTTGCCGGAACCTGGGAGGAACCGCAAAAGAAAACAAGCATTTCTTTCTTATTTCCACTAGGTGGAGCTAGTGAGTTTAAGAGTCATCCTGCTGTATCTTTTACGGCAATAATTGAACTAATTATAGAAATATTTATATTACTTTCCCCTTTCACAGTAAAAGAAGTAGTAAGACCACTTTTATTCATTGTAGAAGTAAAATAATTACAATTGTAACCTCAGGAAATTTGAAAACCCTGTTAAATTCTTAAGGAGCTAGGATGATATTATCTGATATTTTTACTGTAATTCATAGAAATGATCTTTTATTAAAAAATGTAGTTTGGGGGTCATTTTTACATGTGTTGTGAGTTTTGATCGTAGCTATTTTCCTCTTTGGTCAAAATGAAGTTTTCATTTTCAGATTACTTAAAGAGTAGGGGTTATGTGTTTTCAATTTTCTTTTATCGGGCAAGAAAATATCTTGAAAGACTGTGATTGTGAGTAAAAATAGACTACCTTTGAGCACATTGTTTCACTTGAATTGTCATTAGACATTGTAAACAAAAATAAAAGTTCAAAAAAACAAACAGCACTTCTCTCAATGACTGAATGAATAGTAATTTCGATGACTGATTCTGTGGGTGTTTGATTGCAGAAAAGGAAAGAAACCAGCAACATGGTTTGGGTTTCTGTCCTGTGAATACACAACTGGGAGAGACCTTCGGAATTACCTAATCCACATCCATTGCTTTAGAAATAAAGAAACTGATACTCCAGACCACATTTAAAAATGCACTTGAGGAAGGAAAGATGCTGAGTACAAATTGACTGGCCTTCAGGTCTTTATGAAACACTTGCTTGTAGACTGTGTTCAAAGGCAAGACCAAGTTATGAGTAAAGAATCAAGATCTTTGGTCAGTGTATATGGGCCATTTTCTGTTGTCTTTAATGAAAGTTGTACAGTTAATGCATGAAATGGCCTTGGCGCTGGAATTGACAAAAAATACTGTGTCCCCAGAATCAGCTTGTGTAGTGAAAAGGGCAGACCTAGGAGTCGTCTAGAACTGAAGAATGACAGATTCTTTCCTTACAGCCTGTGTAACCTCGGACACTGAGCTTCGCTATGTGGGTGCGTGCTTGCTCAGTCGTGTCTGACTCTTTTGTGACCCCCATGGACTGTAGCCCACCAGTCCGTTATCTTTAGTTAGTCCATGGAATTCTCCAGGAAAATACTGGAGTGGGTTGCCATTTCCTTCTCCAGGGGATCTTCCTGACCCAAGGATCGAACCTGCATCTCCTGTGGCTCCTCCACTGGCAGGCAGATTCTTTATCACTGAGCTACCTGCAAAGCCCCCAGCTTCTCTATAACAGGAGTTAAAATAGCGATAGCATAGAGGTGCAGGGCAGCCTAAATGAAAATAACATGGTAAGCTCTTAATAAAGAGATATCCTGTTACCTCATTAAGAAATAGTTTTTAAAATGGAAAAAATAAGTTGAATTTAAGGGATGAATGAGCAATGTCTGACATCATGGATTTGTCCATTTAGGGGCTGAGCTCTGTTCTGACCCTTCTCATGATGGTTCGGATGAATTTCTTGGTCCTAGATTTGCCAGGCTCATTTGATTGCTTACACAGATCCATCCAGAGTCAAGCCGATGGCAGGCTGCAGATGACAGAAATCAGTGATGAGGTGTAGCAAACCACAAGCATCTGGGGCTGAAGCTACCTTGATTGGACCCACAATAATACAACAGCGCAGAATTACACCCCGTATTTCCTCTCATCGCACCCCATTACCCTTTTGTTCCCAAGGATTTATGCCAACATTGTTACGTTGTTACAGATAGCAGACATCACTGGATTCTAGGATGTTGAAGAGTATTTCCATAGCTGACTTTTTTCATTTCTCTTATTATCCAGCAGATGTCACTCATTATCTTTAGTTAGCCCATGTTTTGGCTCACCTGCCTAAGACCAGCTGAAGAGAAATCACCTTTAGTTATTATGTCAAAGTGACATGTTTGTTGAACTGGAACAATAATCCTTCTCCCCATTAGTCTATCGGGGACTCCAGGCATCACCGTACTCAGCAGTGATGAACTTTTATTTTCTCATTTAATTAAAAAGAAAATGTCTATAACAGGCTCCAAAATGTATAACTGGGAAATAAATGAAGGAAAAAAAAAAAACCAAAAAACAGGGAAGACATGTAGGGAATTTAAATTTGCCTTTGTGGTAAAATACTTTGTAGGTTCATGAGAGAGGACAAATTCATTGTTGATGCCAGTGTAAGGTTGTGATTTTATTCTAGAGTTTAGATTAAAAAATACAGTTTATGCAGTTCATACTGTGTGTCTGTGCGGATGTGTGAAATAATGTGCTCTTTAATCATTCCTGCTGCAATAACAAATAATCATTACATTCACGCTGGCTTTGGGCTTGGTAGCTGGAGCCGATTTTATAAAACTGGAGTAACACAAGCTTAACATAGAAGAGGTAAGTTTTCTTCAGTTTCTAAAAGGAAGTTAGAGTTAAGTCGCTCAGTCGTGTCTGACTCTTTGTGACCCCTGGTGGACTGTAGCCCACCAGGCTCCTCCATCCAAGGGATTCTCTAGGCAAGAATACTGGAGTGGGCTGCCATTTCCTTCTCCAGGGGATCTTCCCGACCCAGGGATCGAACCCAGGTCTCCCGCATTGCAGGCAGACGCTTTAACCTCTTGAGCCACCAGGGAAGCCCCTTCTAAAAGGAAGTGTTTCTTAAAAAAAAAACAAAAAACATATTGCAAGCAAGGGTCCATATATCCTGTTTCTCCAACTACCTCTGTGTTTTAAATCTGCTTTTTCCTTTTAATAGGGATTAGTGGGTGATTCTCCGAGTATGTTCATTAAAGGGAAAGACATTGCCAGTCTTTGTCAGCAAACGCTGAATTTATTATGGGAGAAGAGATCATCTCTCTGCAATCCTGTTTTTGACTCTTGTAATTCCAGTTAGTGTGTTGAGACAGTTGGACTGGATGCTCAGCTTCAGTGTAGGCGTTCATGTTCTTAGCTGATGGTGCCTCCTGACGGAGGGGTTCTGGGGGGGGGTGCTTCGCCGGGTGGGAGGTGGGGGTTCAGCTTAACCTGCTTCTGCTCCTGGTGCAGCTCCGTGTCTGTGGGCCATCTGCAACCAGAAAAACAAAAAATAGCCAATTTCTCTTCATTTTACTTACTTAGAAATTTTTGGCTTTGGATATAATTCATGCAGATTTTAAATACAAAAAGCCAGTTTGAAAGCGTCTATTAAACAGCAGCTATTCATCAGGAAACACAGAAACAATCAGTGACAAAGAGATGCCAAACTAATAAAATTCAGGAAAGAAGAAACCGACTTGGATATTGAACAACTATTCAGTAACTTTATGGAAGAAAATAGTACAGTTTAGTAATGTGAGTAGGAAAATAGGCTACTATTCAATTTTGAAAACCTGATATGCAAAGTTTTACAACGTAACAGTAGTATCCAGAATAGATAGCAAAGATCTTTTTTATACTAGACATTTCCTCATGGACCCCGGTGATACCCTAAATGTTACATTACTGATACATATGTCAGAATTTAGGAGAACAGTCCTCTCCTGTCTCTTGGACTCACACTTCATTCAGTTTTTTAAAGATGTAAAACATTTTTTTAAATTTTTATTTTTTAAGTTTATTTATTTATTTTTGCCATGCAGCGTGGCTTGTGAGGAAGACCAGGGATCCAACCTGCGCCCTGGGCAGTGAAAGCTTGAAGTCCTAACCACTGGACATCCAGGGACCTCGCATAGCTTAGAAGTGACCAGCATTCAGTTCTCTAACCTAGGCCATCCATGTGGGAAAGGGAACAAATGATAACAAAGGTAGAAGCAAGAGAATATCATGGAAATGATAATGAAGGTCCAGGACAAGATGCAAACTGCAGGATGAAGCGGGGGAGGGGGAGATGCTTGCTCCTGGGAGAACCTTGCACTGATGAACCGCCAGCATCCAAGATAGACCGATGAGCTTTTCTGGCAGTTGCTCTGCAGCTATGTTCCCATGAAAAATCACAACCGCTATCACAGTATCAATGCCCAGAGAAATACACACACTACTTTTTGCATGAACTTGAATATTCAGTGCCAGAGATGGGTATGATGGAAGTGAATAAACCGTTTCCTTCCCAGATTCCCACATCTGCATTTTTAAAGAGACGTCCCAGCTATAGGAGGTTTTAGACCTCTGTAGTTTATTACTTTTCAGGACCGTTTTCAAAATGCAATAGAGATCTCTTGAATTTGAATTTACACTACAAAGGCTAGTGATATGAAAGTTTTGTTCAAATGAGTCCTCGCTGTGAAATATATTGTATATAAATGTGACAATTATCTTTCATTTGAAATACTGTGATGATTGTTGTTTACAGAATTAGTTGAAAGTAAAACTTTATATATTACTATGCTTTCTCCAAATGTTTTGCAAATGCAGTTTCTATTTCAGGTGGCTGAAACTGTAGGATAGATGCTTAAAACAAGAATGGCAGTCAGAACCAGGGTCTTGTCTATATTCGACAGTTGATTAGAATTTCCCTCTACCACCTGTCAATCACTTATAATTGGGCTTGAAAGTGCAGATAGGTTTCTGGTCAGAAGCTGGACTCTCTACTACCATCCTACTTCAGGCTACCCATCACCTCATTTTGGGATTACAGGTTTTCCCCTCTACCTGAAACTAGAGTGTTCCTATGAAACCCTTTTTAAGCCAACAAGGCATAACATCAAGACTTTAAGTCAAGGCATGAAGCAATGACTTCAGGACACACCTTGCTAACGACGCACAGAATAAATGGAGGTAAAGCATAGATGCTCACACAAGTCAAAGCTTGATGCTGGGACGCTGGGTACAGTTCCAGGAAAGGAGCTGGGAGGGGCTGGCAGGCCTTCTTCCTCACCACGACCTTGTGTATCTACATCCTATTGTGGTGTCTGCCTTCTGTTAGAGATATTTTGATTTGACAACTAGAATGACACTTTGATTTCTACTCTTCCATCATAAGACTTAAAATGACACATTTTTGCCTCTTTCACAAGGAGCCATTAAGGTATAGGTGTCTATATTTTTAGAGTTAACCCAAGCATCACTGTTCGTTTATTGATCATTCTTAAAGTCATAGCCATTACAATTTGGGAGTCAAATAAACAAGTAATAGGGGACTACCTATTTCTCCAAGTTCTGGACACTTCTTAAAATATACCAATGCTACCACTGTGATTTAAGAAGTATTCAAACATTATCCTCATAGCTGTGGTTAGTTCCTCAGTCATATCTGACTCTTTGCACCCCCACAGAGTGTAGCCCACCAGGCTCCTCTGTCCATGGGGATTCTCCAGGCAAGAATACTGGAGTGGGTTGCCATGCCCTCCAATAGGGTGTTTTCCCAACCCAGGGATTGAACCCAGGTCTCCCGCACTGCAGGTGAATTCTTTACCATCTGAGCCACCAGGGAAGCCCTATCTTCATAGCAGATCTACAAAAAGATTCAAGCATATACATTCAGTAAAAGCAGAAATAAGGGAAAAATCTAAAGCTCTATTCCCAAACCCTATAAGAGGGGGGAAAAGAAATGAAAATGTATTAATCATCTTACCATGTGAGTCATGTAATTCTATACTTAAATCAGTTATGTATGAACTTCAAAATATGCCTTAATAAAAAAGTCAAAGCAAAATTAGTGAATTTATCTTAGTGTATTTCTCACTCTGTGTTCAGTGTACATTTTAAAGCACTGGCTTTTCTCATTACTACCTTTTATTCTTGAGAAAAGGGAAGCAATGCAGGATGAGATGGTGAGAATAGTTAAAGAAAACAATAGTTATGAGTCACAGTGTGAATCTGGGTTTCATAGATTCCCATGTTAGCAAAAGTGCTTTGTCGAGGGAGATGAGAGGAAAAAAAAAATCCTGGCTGTTTTTAAAAATATTAGAGTAGCTAAGAAGAAAGTTCAGATTTTAAAAAGCAAAATGAACGTCCACGTCATACCTGCCACCCCATTTCCTTGAATTATGGCCGTGTGAAATTGATTTCTGCGTAGATTGGGCACACTGGCAGTTTCCTTTCCTACAAGGCCCTGCAGTTCCTTTTCCTTTTTTTAAAGAGCAAACGGACCCCTCAGATTTGTTATCAGTCGGAATGTCCATCCTTCTAACACAAACCGCACTGATACAAAACTTGCTACAGAGGTGCGCTTCTGAGATTTCCACTTTCCTTTTTCGCAGGCCTACGCCTGATAAGAGAGGCTGCCCCGCTTACAACAATGTGGCCCTGTTTACACTGGCAAGTGGCACTTCCTGGCTGGTGTGGAAATGCAGCTGCCCTCTTCAGGGTTCTCCACCCGGAATCTCTGCAAGTGCGGCCTCACTAACAAGCATTTCTACAGATGATAAAGGGAGAATTTCCTTGTGCTGAAAAATGAAAGTGGGCTTTATTTCCTTGAGAACCTGACCTTGACAAGTAGAAATCTACCCGACAAGTAGATTTGCTTTTTCTGTGGCTAACCTTTCTGCATATGGATCTTGTTAGGGAGAAGCATAGCGTTGGAGACATTTATTTCCTAATAAGTACGACAGTTGTCATGCTAAAAAGCAGAGTTTTGAAAAATTATCTTTCTCAAGCTAGTCATTTTGTAGTGATCATAAAGATGTATGAGCAGGCCTGCCCTTCTTCGTTGGCTAAATCTACCATGAACAAGGAACAGATGGGTCCGCCATTTTCCTGATAAAGCATCACTACTGTCTCCCATTCTTATGAAGCAACGTGGTTAAGAAGAAGAGAGAAATGACTCTAGCTTTAGCTATAGGAGTGTTCCTGCTTGCAGGCCTGCCTCTACCATTGGCCGGGTCTGGGGGAAAAAATACAAAGGTAGGTCTACATAATTGGCTAACGATCTAGAAATTATAAATCAAGCTAATAGCATGTTAAATGTTTTCTATTATCCTGTCTTAACAAATTGACCTTCATTATAGCTTGGACGTGCAAGACTGAATGAAACGTCTTGGACCACTGCAAGTTCTGGGGTGAGACCAATGGCAGGGGTTCCAGCTGAGCTCTGGCTCTTGACCAGACATTTCTTTCTCCATCTCAGCTTTGTCTCCCACCCAAGAGGCCTCATCTGCACAGGTGTGGATACGCCATCTTCACATTTCAGAGGAGGAAAGTGAAGCAAGGACAGGTTTTAAGGTACTGAAGTTTGCATAGCAGGTAAATAATGGAGCCATGATGACAAGCTGAGTCTTTGTCCGGTCTCTTAATTTTTATTGTGATCTCATTCTTCCTTCTAAGGAAAAGTGCATTTCCTGACCTGAGGTAAAAGCCAAGTACATCATATCATAATTATCATAACTGAGAAATACAAGGGGAGTCAGGAGAGGTACGTCAGAAGTACTGGGTAAGTCTGGATGGAGGATGGATAGACCAAGCTTTCAGACAGAGCAAACTAAATGCAGTGGGTCAGAAGAAGGAACGGGGGGTGTTGAAAGGCCAATGGGACTTGAGAGAATGGTAGGGAGTAGCAGGACATGGGGGCTGAACTGTGGGGACCCCATAAACCAAACTAAGGAATTGGGGTTTGACTGCGTAAGAAATGGAGGAGAGGGTAGATGGACAAACTTAAACCCTGGGGCATCGGGTAACTCCCTGGCTAATGTGCTAGTCTGCTATTTATAATGAAAGGCAAATTTAATGATCCACAACCCATACTTAGGGGACCCATTTAACTCTAAATGTTGAGGGTAGTGATTGCAGTCCAGAAGTCAGCCTTCCACTAGCAGAAAACCAGAGACTCCAGCCAACGTGGAGGTTGCATCTCCTTTGATCCAGATGCTATAACGAAAGTGTGGTATCTTGCTTTTTTTTGCTGCCTGAGTATTATATCCTAATACATGGTTTCTTTTCTTTATTGAAATCCCCCAATGCTGATGGGATCCTGAAGGTGAATGTCCATGTTGATTGCTGGTTGGATTTTTACCCTTTCCCATATTGAAATAAATTAAAATAAATTTCATGTAATTTTTACAGTGGACTTCCTCCAAATAGACAAGAATGTATTTCTTGATATAACATATTTCTGAATTATTTCTGAGGGCAATTATTTTTAAGTGCAAGTTAGTGTGGTAAGTAGTGTGCAGGGAAAAAAGATGTAAAAAGCTGTAAGTTAAGTAACCACTTCATATAATTACACAATTTTTATAATTCAAATGGATTCTGTATAGTCTATTTCATCCTTAACTCAGACTTTTTCTTGTAATAATTCTGCAAAATAATTTCCCAGTCTTTCCAAGTATGTATTTCTTCCTCCATCTCCCATGTCTAATGCAAAGCTAAGTTGTTTATCTAACAATTATGAGTGGATATGATGGATTAGTTTAACAGTGTAAGGCTGGTCCAACTATTTCCCTAAGGGTATGTATCATAACATGAACATTTTGGCAGAGTCTGTGTAGTGCTACTGTTTTTAAAGACCATGTTTTGATTTTTAGAATACTGTATTCCAGAAATCTTAGCATATCATAGAATGATTTAAAATTTTTCTATATGTGAGAATTCTCACTGAAATCAAAGTAATTAAAGATCTAAATTTATGTGCTTCAAATATTAAACATATGTAATGTTAATACGTATGCACAGTATTCACTTATATGCATGATCATGGTAGAATGGGGTGGAAATATTGGTTTAGCAATTTTGACTGAATTGTTCTAGGCAGTTGGACTGGCCTTCTTTATGAAGTCCATTATTCTTTAACTGAGTTAATTTTGTTGACTACTTATTGTAGTGTCATGAATAAACTCTTGCAATATATTTTTATACTTCGTGTTCAGGGTGGAGACAATGAAAGCCCTATATTAAAACCATCCTAGGAGGGTGCTACTACACAGTTTTCCTTCTGCCAGATGGACTTCTGAGTATCTTCTTATGAGTGCTATAGCTGACCCAAATCTAGTGATTATATGAGGTAATTTCTTAGTAATCCCCTTAGTCGTCATATCCCCTCACTTTTCCAGCAAGACCACTTTCAGGGTCTTGTTTGCAGGTACAGTTTACAAGTCTTAGGGATATGTGACTTGATTAAAACCCAAGAAAGCCTTAACCAGTTTACAGTTTAGAAATAGCCAGTGACTGTCTTATTAAAAGCAGTTAATAAACTATAGTGGAAAAGAATATAAAAATGAATGTGTATATATATACACACATATATATAAATAATTTCTGCTCTGCAGCAGAAATTAATAAACATTGTGCACCAACTAAATAAAGTAAAATTTAAAAAAAGCAGTTGATCAAGCTGATGGCTTCCTTCTGGTACTGTAGTAATAATGATGATACTACTACTATTACTATTATTTATTGAGGAATTGAGGCTTCCCTGGTTGCTCAGACAGTTAAGAATCTGCCTGCAATGCAGGAGACCTAGGTTCGATCCCCAAGTTGGGAAGATCCCCTGGAGCAGGGCATGGCAACCCACTCCAGTGTTCTTGCCTGGAGAATTCCAGGGACAGAGGAGCCTGGCTGGCTATAGTCCAGTCGGACATGACTGAGCAACTAATACATACAACACATTGAGAAATTACTGTTTTGAGATCCATGAAAAAAAATGTTGCTTATAAAGATTAAGTGTCATGTTCAAGGTCACACAGTCAGTGAGTGGCAGGATGAACATTTGAACCTATGAGTGTTTCACCAAACAGCAACTGTTCTCAACAATGAAGATTAAATCCCATGCTTGTGATCTGATGTATTCTTCCTTGTGTCTGTCTTTTCCTTTAGCTAACATTTATAGAAAAATTTACATGCCAGGTAGAATTTTAACACTTTTCAATATTTTAACTCCTTAAATCTGCACAACAATTTATGATCTACTTTTGACTTTACATATGAGATGCAGACTGGTTAATTAACTTGGCTGATACCCACTGAGTGACCATGAAAGATGTCCACAAGTGATACTACTTCTGTTGTTTATACGTCCCTGTGATGGTGAACTGGTTAGTCATGATTCTAGAGATACAATTTCATGTTATTTCTGCAGAGCAAAAATAAGCTTTATCTTCCCCCTGTGGATATTGTAACGTAGAAAACCCAGAGAGCAGATGCAGATTACATTAAGCTTACATAAAAGGCAATGCCCGACTTACAAAGAGTCATGTCTAAATTTTAATTATTTAATTGAATAAGAAAAAAATTATATTTTGGTCAAAATCATGTGAAAAACTATTATTATTAAGACTTTGAAGGTTAGATTTTATTTCAAGTTGTTTGTGAAATTCAGCAGTCTTGAGGTTTTGTAATCCTCAAATCGGCTTTAATTAATTTATCAAATCCTTTTAGCAGAATTTGTTGCAGTGTTTTTGTGCAGCTACCAAAAGCAGAGCCTTATTAGTTTTCTGTAATCTTTAAATTCGGTTTGCTCATATGACCTAATACTCCATATGAATAATCTAAGTTATAGAACCACCAACCAAAAGGGGAAACTTCAATCCTTTATTTTGGTTTCTAGTGTGACCTGTGCCCTCTGAAATATGTTGTAGTCATACACATTTTCTCCCAGTGGCAAATAAAAACCATTGATGCCATAAATTTATATGAATAATGTAAGAAACTACCACTACGCCAAGATTAAGATTTGATTGCCACTTTACCCAAGGACATACTCAATAAACATTGATAAAAGCTGATGCTTTTGCTTAAGATGGAGTCCACTTAGGGTTGTTTTAATTTTAATCTTCCAGGTTAATTCACCCGATCATGGGGGTAAGTTTCTTATCATGCCTTAAAAAAAAATCTGTGATTTTTTTCCTGTGATTATGCTGATCAACTCTTTCTTCATAAAAATGAATGGAGAATGGTAGATTATATTTACAGTCAAACATATTAAATTACCCCTAAAAAATTCTCAAAACAGTTAAATAGAAAGGCAAGTAAAAGGCAACATACAGCTTATTTAGATTTTTCTTCTGGCATCTTAGACTCACTAGTCAAAATTTAGTTAAAACTAAGCTTTTAAAAGATCATATACCTACAGTAAAATAATACTTTTACATGAGTTGATTAAACTTCAAAGGTTAAGTGGTATTTTCCATATAAAGAAAAAAGATATTTCATGTAAATAATATGGTGAGATATTGATTTGATCATATTGGAAGACTATGGCTCATTCAAGAGTTATTTGTGTGTGTGTTTGAAATAATGGGCTATGGTTTCTAGACTGAAAATCAAGGAGTGATGACTAGAAGAGGACCTCTTGAGAGAACAGGAAAGCATTGAAGAACTTATGGTTGTGTGAGGTTTAAAAGCATCTTTAGAGAAAGCGAAGGGGCCTAAGAATTAGGAAAGGAAATTATTTTAAAAGAATGCAATTTCAGAGTATGCCATTGGGCTGATACTTAGCACTTTGCAATATCCTATTCTCCAGTTTCTCTCAATCTACTGGCTTTAATATGCATTGTTTGACTAAATCATTGATCAATAATAATTATTGATTATTTTCCCTGAATTTTTTGTTCTTTGTAGTCTGAATGCCATTATGCCAGTGAGAGGACAACTGAATAAAATAAAAATCTAGGAAGTGTTTTTATTTCTATTATTTTTGACACTCAAGCAATCATCTCAGGTAGGATCTATCATTTTCTTTGTTTTTTCCTTAGCATTTAATAGTGTAAGGCCTTAGCTGTCTTGAGGAATTCACCTTCTTGACTTGGCTGAGTCATAATCTTACATTTGTCCTCGGCTATGTGCTTAATCTTCCTGCTGTTGTATGTATCTATTATGACCTGAATTAACTGAGAACAGTCTGTGAAATTCAAATAGTTTTTTGTTTACCTGTCACTTTTCTACCTCATCAGAATAATTAGTTATTGCCTAGATGATTACATTTTTAGAGCTTTCAAACCCTCTTAATCCATCTTTCTTAAAAAAGACCCAGAACAAAGAATTAAATTCTTCCCTTTGTATTTGAGTTTGTCCCAAAGAATTACACAAAGGAAGCTTTCTCCATCCCTCAAAGCACCTACCTGTTTTGTTTCCCATGATAATTTTCCCATTGCCAATACATTTCTCCCTGATGGTTGGGATGAATTCTGTTGTGACAGTCTCCCTCCGTGCTTCTTCTGACTTCAGATCAATGAAAGTAGCAGCAAGGTCAGACCTTGACAGGTGTTCCACTTTGAACAATGAGTCACTGTCAGCTCTCTGAAGGGATGCAGTTTCCCATCACTGCTATATGTTAATTCCATGTCAGCTTTACTGTCTGGCTCCCTTCTTTAGCTTTACCCAAATGTACTTTAGTAATTTTCCTTCTCCCAAAAGTTTATCGCTTTCTAATTGGCATCCCCTCTCACTCAACACAATTTATCTTAAAAAAAAAAAAATTCTGCGCTTTTAAAACCATAAGAAATTCTATAAATTTAATATTGAACTGGCCAAAAAGTTCATTTGAGTTTTTTGTTAACATCTGACAGGAAAAGCCAAATGAACTTTTTGGCCTACCTAATATTTAGTTCCAATAAAGTCATGTCAAAATAGTGAGGATCTGTTTCTATATTGCTGGTGACATTTAAAAAAAAAATGATATACTCTTACTGGAGATCTTGCTATATATCTGTATCAGTATCTGTATCTTATCTATACTATATATCACATTTATTAAAATTGTTAATATACTTCACTTCCAGAATTTATCCAAAGCAAATTATGAGAGATGCAGACACCGATATTTGTAAAACTACTTTTCTCTTTGGTGTCGTTTATAATTTTGAAATTATAACTTAAACAATCAGTGACAGGATAATGGATTATACCATTGTAATACAGCCTACTATAATTAAAAATAGGGGCTTCTCTGATAGCTCAGGCAATAAACAATCTGCCTGCAATGTGGGAGACCAGGGTTTGATCCCTGGGTGGGGAAGATCCCCTGGAGAAGGGACTGGAAACTCACTCCAATATTCTTGTCTGGGCAGTCCCATGGACAGAGTAGCTTGGTGGGCTACAATCCATGGGTTTGCCAAGAGTAGACACAATTGAGCGACTAACACTTTGACATAATGAAAAATATATTCTTACAACTTATTTTGCCTTGACAAAACAACTCACAGTACGATGTTAGTAAAAGCAAGAGGATATGGAAGACATTAAAAATGGTATCAGTTTTGACTTTTAACCAGCTTACCTATCCTGTGAGCCAGGCTGCACAGGCGAAACATTTTTGTCCCTATTCCTTAAAGCATAGAGTATTGTTTTTGCTAAGCAGTGCCTTTCCCATTTTTCTTCCCACATTCCACCCTAGCTCCCTTGGGAGTTCTGGAAATGAGGGCTTACAGAACTGACGCAATGCTCCAACCCATTTTATTTTCTAAAGAGCGCAAGCGAGTAGCCTATCAGGCAGGAGAGGAAGGAGTGGGTCCTCTTCTGACAGTGTCGTGTGTCCTTAGTGACCAGAGCTACACGCCACGATTCTTCTCTGAGAAAGACACTAAATGAGATAGTTTTTTGTACCGTCTTCAGAGTAAAAATTGTCCTAATACTAGGTTATAGTATAGATTTCTTTTCTTTTTTTTTTTTTTAAGATATAGACTTACTCCTACTGTCGTAGCTGCCAGGAGCTGGGCACAGGATCCATGTGTATGAATAAGCCGTCGACACAGCGGAAGAGGAGACGCGCAGAGTGGTACCAGCTCCCAAAACGTTCTCTGGGAGTCCTCCTGTGGTGAGTGCGGCCGCCAGAGCATCCCACAGCTTCATCCCGCTGTTACTCTCAGGCTCCACTCTGCAGCCTCAGCACTGCCCTAAGTATCACAGAAGAGAAATGGACTCCTTTCCTGGATCATCAAACTATTTCTCCATCCTTCCTCAATACCCACTTTCATGATCATTCTCTAGAACTTATTACCAACATCTCTGTCACTCTTCATAAGCTTAGCTTCAAGAGTCTCATTCTCTGAAAACTGTATCTTATGCTTCCCATTCATTTTCCCCAAATGTCAACCTCACAGGGAACTCTGATTGACCCTAGAAGCTGTCCCAGAAACCCCTCAATCTTTCCTTAAATCTTGCTGTGAATCTCCTCATCTAGGTAGCAGACCAAGGATGGACAAAAGCACACAATTGTGACAACTTTAAAGAAAAAAATAAATTAATGACCACTAGTCCCAAGTGGAGTCTTCGCATTGCCAGGAAACACATTACTTCTCTCTACTGCCTTGAGCTTCCTGGTGGCTCAGCAGTAAAGAATCTGCCTGCTAGGGCAGGAAAGCTGGGTCAGGAAGATTCCCAGGAGAAGGAAATGGCAAGCCACTGCAGCATTCTTGCCTGGGAAATCCCATGGACAGAGGAGCCTGGTCGGCTATAGTCTGTGGAGTCGCGAAGAGTTGGACATGACTTAGCAACTAAACAACTGCCTTTGTTCCCCAATTACGTTAGGCCGTTGTTCTACAGCTTTCCACCAAAGGCCCAAACCTCCCTCTCAGTAGTTCTCATCTGATGATCTTGCTAGGTATTTCCTTGAGAAAACTCAAGCGGTGAGCAGAGGCCTTCCCTGTGATCTCAGCACCTCATCTACCGGATGGCCTCTCTCTGTGCCCTGTGGCATCCCTCTTAAACCATTCCTGCTCAGTTTGTCCTCTTGGCTGTGGCAGCCCTTCTGGGGCACGACACCCACCCCCTATTATCTGCTCTAGGAACGTTCTCTTCAAATGCCTCCTCTTGCTCCTGCTTTAACATTTCCTTTTTGCACAACCACATTTAATAGTTTCCATCTTAAAAGAGCCCTCCCTCAATGCCACAGTCCCTTCTACCCCTGACCTTGCTTCTCTTGGCAGCAAATCTCCTCAGAAGTGATAATTATGCTTACCGTCTCCACATCCTTTACTTTTCTCCTCTCTTGAACCAACTCCAATCAACTTCTTGTCCTTCTGCTGAACTGAGACAGCTGAAGGCTTTCAGAGACATTTACCAACCCAGTGGTCAGGTTTTTAGTTTTCTTCTTACCCAGCCCGTAGGCTGACTTCAACATAGCTCATGTTCTCCTTCACATGTCTCCTTCACCCGCTTCCAGAATGCAGCTGTCTCTCACTCCTTCTCCTGTATCCTTGGTCGCTTCTTTTCAGTCTCCTTTGCTCTCCTCACCTTGATTTTTGTGACTCCACAGGCATGAAGTTATATTTTTTCTCCAGCTACTTCTGCTTCCTAGGTGGACTCATTTTCCAAGGACTCTTGCCCAGCTCAGATCTTATATACTCAGTGGCCTATTTAACATCTCCACCTGGATGTTTACCAGGCTTCCCAAAATGTAACACTCACAATCTCCCATCTTTCAGGAAGGTAGAATCTTCTCCCAGCTTCTCAGGTCAAAATCTTCAGTGATTCTAGACTCTCCTCACACCCAGGTCCAAACCTTCAGTACCTTCTGACAGTTCTTCCTTTGTTCTGTGAGTCGAACAATCTGACCACCTCTGACAACTCCCACTACTGTTTTCCAACTCCTCATAAATTCTCACTTGGACTTTCCCAATTGTTTCTTGTTATCCTACCTAGCATCTGAACGGGCCCCTTTATGGTGTACACGTCACACACAACCAGGAGGATCCTTTTAAAACCTAAGTCAGATCATGACACTACTCTGCAGAAAAGACCCTGAGGGCTCCATCCCAAGCAGAGGTGTCTGACCTCGTTTCCCATCGCTGGCCTCTTTTCTCTCTTTAGTCCTCTGAGCTGAGGATACCGCAGGGCCTTTGGATGTGAACTCTCTGCCCTGAGCTCATGCCATCAGTTCTCTCCCTCTTTCGTTCTTCTCCACAGCCCTTTCTAGCACCTGGAAAGTCATATATTCTTTTCTTTATCTGTCTCCCCAAACAAGATGTAAGCTTCCCAAGGGGAGAAGCTGTGTTTTGCTCATTATTATACCCTCGAGGCCTGGAACAGAGCTTGGAAAATGATAGGCTTCTGAAAGAATGTACTTACTTCACAAAAATTAAATTATCCACACTTCATAACAGAAAATTAAGATGTTATTGGCTTATTTGCCTTCAACTTATTACATTCTTACCCCCCAAAATTATAAACACCTTATAAATTTCTTTTATTCATACAATCTGCTGGCTAAGTTGAAGCCTGAAGAATATTTGTAACTTTTTGAAGGTCAAGGATGAAGCAAAGGCCTAATTTAAAGATTTTCCTCCAACCCAGTACAAAACTCTTAGTGGTTCGATATTTCTGTTTAGTGATGACACCATCTTTATGTGAAGAATATAGCCCATTATGTTGATAGGCAAATTGAAAATGGGCACCACATTTATGAGGGTATAAAAAATAAATGTAATGCTTATTACCTTGAAATGTGTCAGCTACCAGTTTCTCAGTTTTACAAGAAATGTAGGAGACACAGATGTTCTATTACCTATTCCAGTTAATTTCCTCTCTTTTTCAACATCATTAGCTTCTTCTCAGAATTATAAGCTGCTTCTTGGGGAAGATAAGACAAGAGTAGTAATTTTGGTTGAATGCTCTGCAGTTAGTTTCTCAAGGTGATCAAAATACTGAAAACGTGAGGATTCAAGGAGAGTGGGTGTCTGGGGAAGGGTGTCCTTTCCTTATACCAGCTCGACCACCAGGCTGCTCTGAATTCTATCTTTCATAGTAAACCAGTGATCTCATAGACCATATATATAAGTGTGTGTGTGTATATATGTATATATACACACACACACAGTTGTTGTTTAGTTACTAAGTCGTGTCCGACTCTTTTGCGACCCCAGTGACTGCAGCCTGCCAGGCTCCTTTGTCCATGGGATTTTCCAGGCAAGAATACTGGAGTTGGTTTATCATCCCCTTTTTCAGGGAATCTTCCCGACCCAGGGATTGAACCTGCATCTCCTACATTGCAGGTGATTCTTTACTGCTGAACCATTGTCGAAGCTCATTAAGTGAAAACTGCAAACTAATACAGTATAATTTTTAAGTATTCATCATTTAAATCTTTATAAAAGCCTAGTAATGTGACTAGGTAAAGAAACTTGCACATGGATTATAATAAGGGTAGCCTGTTTTCATTTCACCATTCTTTGACTTTTACAAGACAAAACACATACTGGAGAATATATCATTGATTTTACAGCATGAAGTGTAACAAAATGAAATGGGAAAATGATCCATTTGCCATTGGTAAACAGGAATTTATTAAAAGACAAAGAAAAATATGATATGACTTGAGATAAAGTTTATCACTTAAACTAGACTATTCAAATGAGAATTAAAAGATTATAATCTTCACAATGCTTATCAAAAAATAACATTAAAAATTTTAATATATATATTAATATTTGCTATGCCAGAAATTTCCTGAGAACTTGACATGGTCTGATAATCTGGGCTCTAGAGGAGATTTTGTTATTGTTCACTGTGTGTGTGTGACCTTAGGATTATTTCTTAAACATTCAAATTTCTTTTTGAAAAAGTTTCTATGCAAATGATATTTTTGAAGGAAGATCTCAAGTAATATAATGCAACTGATGGAGTTCATTGAAATTACTACCATTATTGGAAGGTAATTATGTCATTTGGTTTTTGTGGAGAAGAGTTTGCCATAAATCAGTTACTCTCAACTTCTCATCAGTGCCTGAGTTATAACATTGGGGTGATCCAGACAAAGTTATGTCTATGAAAATATGCATTATTAGCTTTCTTAAACAATGGACTGAAATAAGGAAACACATCATCCTAACAAACACAGTATTTGCTCTCTGAGGTCCCATTGTTAGAACTGAATGTAATTGTTATTTTTAGAGGGCTGATATACAATGAATCCTTGAAGCTTTTGACAATTTCATGATTTAGAAATTGACACTTGCCAGGCAATGCCCTCAAGAAGCCAGGTCTAATACTTGTGAGCCTACCATGTCATGTTAGTGCTTGAAAGGCCACACCAGACAACATGCATAAAGCAATACAGAAGGGTTTCAGCCCATGAAACTCCCCATCAGCTCTTGAAATTCAGAAATGTTTGTTTGCTGTCTGTGAAAATATTAAGTGCAACCAAAGAATGTGTTTACCTGGCTAAATTTCCCATTAATAGTACAATATATCAGCTATTTGCAGTTCGTGAGGGCCCCCATTGTGGCCATAATACTGTTGGATTGGCAAGAAAGAAAAAAAAATTAAATATACCTAAGGCTTCCTTAACTGCATTCCATGTTATAGTTTGTTTGCTTCTTTGTCCTGATATAGCCCTCACTTTATTTTCTATTTTATTTAATGTTACTTTTGAATCTAACATTAGGCAACCAATAGTTTTGATTAATATTTTTCAGACATGAAGTTCCTTTATTCTAGTATTATTTATCAGAGGAATACACCATGATATTTAAGAATAAGCAAAGTCTTGTTTTGACATTATTTCTATTGGTTTAGCAATTGAAAGAACTTGTCAATGATTGGCTTGTATACACACACAGTTTTGTTTTTTATTTAAAAAAACATTAAATCAAATATGCAGAGGATTTATGGACTAGACAGCAAACAATTTACTTATTGGATATTTGGATAGAAATAACACCAGATATTTTCTGGAATATGTAAATGTTTATAAGAATTTTCTTGCAGTTTAAAAGTACTGTGATTATTGGCAAGCCTGAAGAGGATGTAGTTAAAGGTATTTTCATGGGAGACCTGTAAATATGCTAAAAAGGACTGACCCTACAAGACCTTAAACAT